TTTTGCAGCACCATCCTATATATGGAAACCATACTCCATTTTTGTTTTGGTTTGCTTTGATTTGTTTTATTTTACGGCATATCAACCTCAATGGGTTATTTAATGCCGACAAAACGTTTATTGTTGGTAATGTTTTGTCAAAAATCTATTTCAGGTAATATCAAAAGTGTATCGCTGGTAATAATATTTTTTTCAAAAATGTATTGCTGGTAACATTTCTTTTCAAAAACATATTGCTGGTAACTGTTTTTTTTATTGAAAAATTTATTGCTGGTAATAATTTTTTACAAAGCAGTTCTGGTATTAAAACCTATTTTTACACTTTCATAGTGCTTCTACCGCAGTTCAGGGGTTAACCATCTGCCCATAGCTGGGACCCCAACAGGCGCCACCACCCCGGGGTCAGAGTAGACCCGGGAACACCAGCAATTAAGAGGCGGTTCCACGATCCTCAAACCGTCCCGATCAGAGGCCCCGCTGCTGGATGCAGTTTATCGTCATACTCAGGACACCCATTCTTTGTTCGTTCTGACTTATAAAGATTGATCAATTAGCAGGAGTTAGGTATTTTCTTAGGCAATACAAGAAACCAACCATTTCAGATGGGGAATTTCGAACTGAAACCTTTATTTAATCTACAGGTATATATTGCCCCCGTTCAACTGTTCATGTCTCGTGAAATCTCATCTAGTTCTCCATTAGTACTATATATATATATATATATATATATATATATATATATATATATATATATATATATATCACATTCTCCAGCGCGCCAAGGCAGTCTTATCTAAATGAGAAGATGTATCGTGTATCCTAGTGGTAAATAACAATGTGCTGTTGAAATAGCCACCACGTTCACATTGTGTTTTTTTTTTCTATGAGGTTATGTGATAGGACAGGTGTATATCCCCCTCTTTCTACAAGCCTAGAGGAGCTTATGAGGAGAATCACTGAGGTACTGGAGAATGTTACGCAAGACATGCTACAGCGTGTTTGGCAGGAGCTGGACTACCGACTTAACGTGTGTCGCGTCACAGGTGCTACGCATATTGAATATTTTCTGAAATCTACATCTCTTTGAATATCTAGTTCGGTTTTTGATAAATAAAATAAATATTTTATTGTTCAACATGAAACCTGTTTAATTTCGTTTGCCTGGGAGATGTAGTTGCCCAGATATCCCCATTTTAATATATATCTACTTTTGGGAACAACTTCTCTCTCTCTCTCTCTCTCTCTCTCTCTATATATATATATATATATATATATATATATATATATATATATATATGAGATGGTATATATGTTATATATCAAGAACAGTAATGGAGAAATTGCATGACACATTATAAAAGATTTACTTTTGACGCGTTTCATCCTTCAGGACTTCATCAAACTAAATTTATTACGTAGATAGGAGTACACAGGCGCACGACGGAGAGACGCTGGGGATTTTATAATTTGTGTTTTTCTTATCTAGCCAAATTAATTCAGAGTCTTTTCTTTCCATAATTGCATATATATTGTTTCCTTCACTATATATATATATATATATATATATATATATATATATATATATATATATATATATATATATATATATATATATATATCACTAAACAATTAACTCAAAAAATTCTTAAAATCTGAAAAAATATTTTCTGACTTTAACTAACCTTCAAAGGGCTGATAAGCCATAAAAAAAACAAATGAATCACTCAATCATTCAGCTTTCAGACCGATAAAGAAGTTCAGGCAAACTGCCTAGACATCATTGTGAACATGTTGAAAAGTCATGTCTTCAAATAAACGTTGTAGCCCACAACAACAGGTCGAAATTAAATATTACATTGCCTAATGATAGAAATCGGTATAATGCGCCATCTCAAAACACTAATATTATTGGGCCTTTGGGAATGATATGGAAAAAAGCAAACGAATATGCTACTCAAATTTAAAAAATGTGAACTGCAAGAAATCATACCTGTGGGTAATTCTCACACCTTTCAGACATTTCTGTCCGTGCAGTGATCACAATTACAATATTTTTTCTCTCTCTGTCTGTACGGCACCTTACCTGCATGCATCCTCCGATACAAACAAACACAAAATACATACCTGTTGTCCCCTAAGTCTCTGGTTTAAACAAAGGCGAGACACAAGATCGCAGTTCAAGATTAGGTTATTACCACAAATAATATCAAAGAGATATCAGAGAGATATCACCACTCTTCTCTCTGATTGCATTTACATCGCCTCGCTGTGCATCGTTTTTCCACAGGGCCGTGTGTCTCATGGCTCAGTGGGTAAAAGCGATGGTTGAATTATTCTAATGACTTGACACAAAGGACTGCGAGTTCAATACCTGTCTACAGCTGAGGTGAACAAAAAACCTGGAGAGTTGAGTTAAAGGGGAGATAACTGATACTAAGACATCCGGAAGAGTTATGACACGCGGAACTAGCACTATCTACCCCGGTGGCAAAATAAAGGT